AACCCAAATGTCCATCGGTGATAGATTGGATTAAGAAAATGTGGCACATATACACCATGAAATACTACACAGCCCTAAAAAAGAATGAGTTCATGTCCTTTGTAGGGACATCGATGAAGCTGGAAACCATCATTCTGAGCAAACTATTGCAAGGACAGAAAATCAAACACCTCATAGTCTCACTCACAGGTGGGAATTGAACAATGAGAACACCTGGACACACGGCGGGTAACATCACACACTGGGGCTTGTCATGGGGTGGGTGGAAGGGGGAGGGATAGCATTAGGAGATATACCTAATGTAAATGACAAGTTAACGGGTGCAGCACACCAACATGGCACATATACATACGTAACAAACCTGCACGTTGTGCATATGTACCCTAGAACTTAAAGTATAATAAAAAAATAGAGATTTATTATGGGGTCGTGGCTTACATGATTATGAAGGCAAGAAGCTGTCATCTGGAAACTGGAAGACTCAGGAAAACTGGTGATTTAATTCTGTCCAAGTCAGAAGGCCTGAGAACCAGGAGAGCTGATGGTGTCCATCCCAGTCCCAGGGGAGGAGAAGATGAGATGAGATGTCCCAGCACACAAACAGAGGCAGAAAGGGGTGAATTCTCCCTTCCTCCTTTTGTTCTACTTAAGCCCTCACCGGGTTGGATGATGCCCATCTCCATGGGGCCATCTACGTTACTGAATCCACTGACTCAAAGGCTAATGTCATCTGGAAACACTCACAAACACACCAGAAACAATGTTTAATCTGAGCACCTGTGGCCCAGTCAAGTTGGCACATAAAATGAACCTTTACAGTGACATCCCAGGATCTTGGACTGCCAAGTGTGGCAAATCACTTGAGCCTGGGAGTTCAAGACCGGCCTGAGCAACGTCATGAAACATGATTTTGTGTGTGTGTGTGTTTTTTTTTTTTTTTTTTTTTGAGACGGAGTTTCGGTTTTGTTGCCCAGGCTGGAGTGCAATGGGATGATCTTGGCTCACTGCAACCTCCACTTTCCGGGTTTAAGTGATCCTTCTGCCTCAGCCTCCCAAGTGGCTGGGATTGCAGGTGTGAGCCACCATGGTCAGCTAATTTTGTATTTTTATTTTTGTTTTTTGGAGGAGACAGGGTTTCTCCATGTTGGTCAGGTTGATCTCAAACTCCTGACCTTGGGTGATCCGCCCGCCTCGGCCTCCTGGGGTGCTGGGATTGCAGGCATGAGCCATCGCACCAGGTGAAACCCAGAACGGAAAAACCAAACAAAAACCACAAAGATTAGCTGGGCCCGGTGGGCTGCGCAGGTAGTCACAGCTACTCTGAAGGCTGATGTAGGAGGATTGCTTGAGCCTGGGCATCCAGTTAGCAGTGAGCTATGATGGTGCTGCTGCACTCCAGACTGGGTGACAGAGAGGGACTCTCTCTCAAAAACAGAAAGGGGAAAGAAAGAAGAAGAAAGTAAATAAAATTGCTAAATCAAGGAACAGCTTGACAGTACTGTTCCTTATTGAGAGAAATAGAGGCAAAGGTTAGCAGACACCAATGTTCACTTGGGAACTGCAGGTGTTCTCTGGACAGGAGGCTGCTACTTTTCCAAAAGAAATCTGTTATTGACTACCAATAAAAAATACATTGTACATTTGTTACAATACGCAAATAGCGAAACTTTATATAGCCAAGATCATATTCCAGCACTGCTCTAAGCCTTTTCCTGCTCTGAAATAGCTACTGTTGTTACCTCCATTGTACAGAAAACAGATGCCAAAGCTTGTTGTGAAAGGACCAAGGAAACTCATTATGAAATTGACTTGTTGTAAGTTTTGGACTTAAAGGTTCTTCCTGCTCTGCTCCTACATTGCCACATTTTAGTTAACATCTCTCTTAAAATACTGGTCCTTTCTGTATTTGGAGGGACTCCTCTTGCAATTTGAAGTTTTTTCTTCCGCTAAGCAGTTGGTCATAAGATCATCTGTGTTTTATGCAGTTTAAGTACCTCTTTAGACATTGTTCAGTTAGGAATGTAAATAGGAGCTAACATGGTGTGTAACAGCTGTTTACAGCCATTTTTGTCTGATAATACAAATATAAATGAATATGTTATTGCAAATGCAGGCTGGGAGAGGAGGGAAAATATGCAGAGAGAAAAGCCCCATCTCTGCTTGGAGTTCAGCACTGGGTCTCCTTCCCTTCCTTGTCAAGGCTGCCACAGTGACAGAAGCACACAGCACTGCCTTTTAGTGACACCTGCTGGGACAGACCTGGCAGAAGGGATTGCAGATTTGCATGGTTCCTGGCTGCCTCTGCCAGCCTGAGTTAGCAGCCCACTCCAATTCATGCTGAGCTTGGGCAGCTCAGGTTTGAAAAATTTCCCCTTCCCTTGGACCACCCACCATGTTTCACCAAGTTGCCCAGGCTGCTCTTAAACTCCTGAGCTCAAGCGATCCCCCACCCTGGCCTCCCAAAGTGCTGGGACTACAGGTATGGGCCACTGTGCCTGGCCTCCAGCAAACTTTTTAAAGAATGTGTGTAAGCTAGATGGCTCACAAGGTTGCCAGTTCATACCTCACATGGAGCAGATAAGCAATTAAGAGTTTTGGCTTAAAACTTTTCTCCTGCTCCCAGAAAACAAAAGGTGTTGTTGTCATTGTTCTTGGTCAACAAAGCACCTATTACACAAAGAAGGTAATAGGACATATCTGAGAACAGTCTGTTGAGATGTAGTTGAGACTACAGTCTGAAAAACTGAACAGAATTCCAAAAGAAAGCCATGTTATTACAGCATAGTAAAATGAAATATAAAGTGTACCATGTGTCTGAAATGTAATGTCTCTGAAGTAGGTAGGAAGTTTTGTAGCTCCACCAACCCATTCTACCACATAATCATTAAGATTACAATTAAACTAGCTACTAAAATTTAACAAACAAGGAAAATGGAACCAACAGAAAACTATACTGCATTAATTTGTAGAGAAATGATAACTGCATAGTTTCTTTTAAAGAGACAGACCTTATTTTAAGGATCTTTAAATTGAAGGATTCAAAAAGTGGTAAAGTTTTGGGAATTTATTGATTTGCTTTTCAAAGGAACTGCTGACAAAGATTCACCAGTAATAATCTGAACAAGTTGGAAACTACAGGCGACACTACTGAAACACTACTAAAATATTTTGGGGACATAGGCTTATTAGACAGAATAAAACTTCTCAGATGCTGTCCTTGATGTGAAAATGGACTGCTTCTTACTTTTCTAAACACACAGTGGTAAAATTAACAATATTCACTCACCTGTGTTCTTTCCTGCATATATAATAATTAAAATACCAATTATAAAACTAATATATCTTCTCCTTATTTCTTATGGATACGATTTCAATGTTTCACTCAACAGTGGTGTGGTTTAAGAGATTTTTTTTCATTTACAAGTTAAACCACAATCCACCCAAAGGGAATTGATAGTCTATAGGCTCATAGTGCAAATAAACACTTTAGGAATGCAGCAACTGACATTTCTAAAGTACAAAACAGATACAGTTCTTAGAAGATACATGCAAAAAGCTCTACTAAGCAGATGGCCACAGAACTAGAACATTGATAATTTTACTGGTGATGTCCATAGGACTCCAGAGGTTTCCAGACTCAACTTGAACTCTCAACTGAGGCTTGTTTTGTATTTTGCTTTTCCAGTTTCACTAATGACACAAACATGCTATAAAATGAAAAGCCAGACATTCACATTTAAACAGTATATTCTGAAATGGAAGGCAAGAACAGCATTTTACATATAAGAACACTGTTATGTTGCCAGGTTCTTACTAAACAGAGATAGTACTACTGTATTTTAGACCAGTAACTTTTGGGGAGGGTATCTTCTGAAAACAAAGCAGTAGTCTGTACCATTAGTTTAATTTGTTTCTTGTCTTAATATGTAGTTTTTTGGGTTTTGTTTTGTTTTGTTTTTTGTGTTTTTGCGACAGTCTTGCTCTGTCACCCAGGTTGGAGTGCAGCGGTGCGATCTTGGCTCACTGCAGCCTCTGTAAAAGGGTGTGGGAGAGGCGAGCATCACCTTTCATCACATTCTCTGTTTTTAAAGAGACGAGTCTCGCTCTGTGACCCAGGCTGCCGTGCGGTGCTGTAATCACAGCTCACTGCAGCCTTGACTT